AGAGAGAGAGAGAGAGAGAGAGAGAGAGAGAGAGAGAGAGAGAGAGACCGAAACGATTCATGAATTGAAACTGGGCAGGTAAAATAAAATTAGGCCCAAACAAATCGGCAGAGATTAAAGAAAAGATTCTATACCGAAATCAGAGAAAAAAAATAACAACAACTATAAATGGACGAAATGAAATCCGCCGAAAAAAGCAACAACAACAAGGCATCAGAACAAGAACAGATAATTGAAAACGCAAAGAAATGTGCAGGAAGTGAAATTTGAGTAGAAAGAAAAATGTATTTGTGAGTATTGTTGTTGCGTTTGAATCCGTTTCGAGGAAAAATAACAACAACAACGTTCGTACAATAAATTGAATGACGTAGTCTAATGAGCGGGAAGATGCGGTCGACAAAATTCGAAACGTAGCAAAAATATGTGTGAATCCCATATATGGTCGATGCATTGCTCTTGGTGTGTGTGTGTGTTTGTGTGAGTTGATTGTTTGATCATTGTTTTGTTCGGGGAAAAATCGACGGAGAATCAGAGATGGATGCTCCTGCATATTTTGTCACACAATGTTCCAATCAGTCGATATATTATGTCAATTTGCGGGCCAAACGAAGGAATGGTGGAAAAAAAAAGAGCAACGGTCATCAAACACACTAGCCACACAGTATATATCCTCTGTACAGCCCAAATGAAATGGAGAGAGGCGCAGTAGCAGCAGCAGCTGCTGCTGCTGCAATCACAACAAGCGCTTTCACGAGCCACCGATTTAATCCAATCAGTCTCGAAACAAATGCCATGAAAAATCGCTTGTTTAATATAAATTGCTTTTATATTTCAATGTTCCATCATCATTCAATTGAAATCGACAGTGCTTTTCTCGTTCTATCTACAATTCGCTTGGTCTCGGCTGTTTTGTTCTGCTTTGGATTTGTGTGTGTGGGTCTCCTTTTTCTCACTCCCCTTAATAATGCTGCTATTGCTGCAATACGGTTGGCGGGATTTTTTTTTTCTTTTCCGTTTCACCGACATCTTCGTCGTCATTTAAGCCTCAAAGACGCTTTTTTTAATTGGATTAATTGTCATTTCGATTAAATCAAATTGGTTCACACAGCAATTGATTGTGGCGAGAGAAACGTGCGTGAGCTACAGAAAAGAAAGCGATAGAGACGGACAGAGGGAGAGGGAGCAAAACAGAGGCGAGAGAGAAGAGAAAAAATGAAAGAAAGAAAGACGGAGTGAAGGACATTGAAAATAAGAGAGATAATACGGTGTGCGTGTGAGATGTGAGACTGCTCCTGAATGGTTTCCGATCCGAACACCGTTTCTGTACATGCCAATAATTCATTTCCAATCAATTATGGGCCAATTTATGACATCTATGTGCTGTGCCCATATTTTGATTTAACATTTTAATTTGTGTTTTTTTCATTCTCATCTTCTGCGTATGAAAAAAACGCAACGTTGCTTTAACATATAAATATTTTTAAGCTACATGTCCCAAAATCCCTTCCCGTCGACACTATTTGAATTCGAACGCCCAAATTATGTTTAATGCAATGTGATTGTTGTTGTTTTTTTTGTTTCATCTTGCACCGTTTTCGATCAAATTTCATTATAATTGATGTCCGAACAGGAGACCTAGACAGACACTCACTCACATAATTCAATTGCTGATTCATGTGATTGTGCGGAACAGCACGGAACAGCAAAAAAAATTGTTTTCATTGTTTTTTCGTCTCTGTTTCGTTGTTCATCTATGTTTAAACAGCTCGTGCAACGTGTGTTTGTGTTTTGCCTGTAGACAATGGTTTTTGCATTTGCTTATCAATATTTGGCTCTCTTTCGGACCAGAAGTAGAAGGGAACAGGGTAGAGACAGTAAAGAAAGCCCATGAAAAAACAATGCGCGACACCAAAAACTGAAGAAAGCACACAGCGAGAAGGCAGGCGCGTGCGTTAAGTGAGCACATTTTGCAATAGTCAAAGTGTCGTTGTCGCCACAAATTTGCGGTTCGGTTCAAGTAGATGTGCCGATAAATTGAAACACCGAACAAAAGCGATCAATTTTTTTCATATCGGTTCATTTTTTGTTTCGTATGCAAAATTCAAATTTGCGTATATGCGACGCGCGCAATCACATTACACGCGCGCCACCACGAGAAATATGCTTTTTTTTGTCACACAAAATCAGTGCCGAATGGAAATATAAGTACTGCGGCGACAAATGGAAGAAAACCAACAAACAATAATTGTCACGAAACAAAGAAGACGAAAGCAGTAGCGGCCACACTTTGAAATGGCAAAATATAAATTTACATTGATTTCGCCGGTTGAATTGTGTGCGCAATGGAATTGTGTGTAGTGTTGTTGTTTTTTTCGGACAAATTCGGCCCGGGTACAATGACACGACCGGTTTTAATTAAATACACATATCCAGAACGTAGGTATATATTTTGCGTGCGGTCGGTTGTTGTTTTCTTTTGTGTCTATAGAGCACACTCGCGTTCACTGTCTCTACATGTCTTTCTCGTCACACGGTAAACAAATATGAAGCAGCGACATTTTTTTTTCTGCGTCAACGACCGGCTATTGTTTTGCCTTTTTCGGCTATTTTCTCTTCCCTCTGGGCCAGAGACTCTGTCAAATGTTTTGCCAGACTTTTTTTTCTGTTTGACTAAGACTAGATGCAATTTCCATTCAGAATAATCATAAAAAATTCACTGTGAACAATGCTCAGGCAAAAACATCAACAAATCTTCTAAGGAGAACAACTCAAGACGATTGAGAAGAACAAAGCGGACACTAGTTCATTGTCAAAGAAAAGACGAATGTACTCAAGAAAAAACGCAAACAATTCATCTTCAAACGAAAGTGCGACGTGATTAAGGTTGCCGCGTACGCGCGCATCGGATTAGAGCAAAGATGAAAGAAGGTGATCTTCATCCATGGCAAAGAGTTTGAGTGTGTGTTTTTTATTTTGTCAAAATGATCTCTGTACAGTGTCTAATATATTACCGAGACACTTTATCTGCCGTCAACTGTCTCAAATTGACACTAAATCTGATTAAGACACTCAAATCCATCCAAAAAGAGCATTTTTCTTCCATGTCTCACTGATTGTATTTCCACTGTGAGTGTTGCGTTCAACTGTA